AATGAAAATATTCACACCCATTACATTACATCCAAAAACCTGATCAAAAACGTACCACAATCTCGATTCACCGTAATAATTTTTATCTTTAAGTTTAGTGTTCTTCATAAATCACTAAAAATTTTAGCACTTTTGGTTTCTCGGAGGAAAGGTTTCTGATCGTCGGCTTCCACTTGGGGCGTTGCGTTTCAATGAATTATACCAGGTGCGGTAAGTTAACTGGCATGCTTCAAAGCGGTTACAAGAAATCCTGATGAAACTTAAAAAATCCTTCTTGAAAAATAACGTTTCATACCATGATATTCACTCACTCATTACTAGAGGGAGAACCCGGAGAAGAGAACAAAACATTATATACCGTGTGCCCTATTTATGTTTTAATGGTACAGAGACTTGCAGTTTTCGCGACCCTGTACCGCTTTTTTGTGAAACTTAATACCACAAGCAGAATCAATCTAGCTACGTTTGTTTCTGAGATACAGGGTGAAAACGAAAAGTTTGGCATTTTGAGACACTACAACCATATAAGATAGAAAAAAAATTATTGGACCACCATTTCTAAGTTTTGGCCCAAAATTAGTATTTTTTAAATTCAACACCCTGTATATCTTAAGTCAATTTTTTTAGTTTTTTTTCCTGATTACATTGATCTATCACAATCTGTATTTTTTTAATTTGAGACATGAACCAAAAATAACCATATTTTTTACGGTTTCTAAATAGTAGACCATGGATTCATGATGATTTTCTTTTGTTTAACGTATCCATTAAGACACTACGATCATTCAATAAAAGTGGCTGACGATAGAAGAATGTCATTTCAAAATTTTGCAAAATATGATAGTACAGTATGTAAAGTGACGGGGTATACAAGAGGGCAATTTTTTTTAAATATTGATTTATGAAAAAATGATCTAAGTGAAAGTATCTAACATAGGCTGTTTTTACCTTTTGTTCTCATATGGGTAGTAAGATATGATAACATCCCAAAAAGTCAAACTTTTCATTTGCACCCTGTATCTCAGAAACAAACGTACCTAGATTGATTGGGTTTGTGATATTAAAGGTCGCGAAAACCGCAAGACTATTTTTAAAAACAACTGCAGCCCCAACCAAAATGAGCATTGGCGACGTAAAGGGGGAGGGGGGGGGGCGGACGCGGTCCGGATAGATAAATCCTAGATCTCACCTTTATAACTAAACATAGTAATCATTCACTTTTAGCATTATACATTTACTTAAGAATAAACAGCCACGGTACGAAACACTTTTAAATATAGGTTTTTGTGCTGGTATAGAAGCCTCTTAAACTATTGCATTGTTTAAATACTGACTATTACTATTGTCAATATTGAGAGTTTTTATTTCCTAACATTGACGGAACTCTTGGGCGAGTGATTTACACTCGTAAAAAAATTTGTCCATCAGGAACCTAGCAATAAAAGCTTTGGTAATACCAAATTGGTATACATCTATATATTTTTGCTATTCGGTACCCCAAAAATATTAACGTATAATTCAGTTAAGCTGATACAAGTCAGTAAATGGGTTTACTATATGAGGTTTTATTATTTTTCTCGTGTATAAACAAAAATTTAATTTTCTTTGTACTTTTACGCTGCAAAATTTACATCAAATTCCAAAGTAGCAGAAAAAATGAAATTAAAATTAAACCCTCATAATCTTGTTTATTATTTAGGACATCCGGAAAATAAATATAGACATCACTTGAAAAATGGAATTTTTAAATACTAACGTGCCTTGTCTTGCTAAATTAATTAGTGTTCGCGTGTTTGTGTTAAAGCGCTGCTCCAGATAACCCCAAGACTTATATACGTTAATTAATTTGAATTTAACTAAAACGAATGCAGTTTAGGTTGGTGTATGTAATTATATAATTTAGTGATAGCAATATGCTGCCTTGAATTTGTAATGTGGATAAACATTTACATGCATAATATACCCCGCTTTTAAAATAAACTTGGGAGGACTTTGACTTTAGATGTAGTTAGAGAATTGGATTTCGATCATTAATATATGAGTTTTTATATCTGCATTGCTATTCACGAAAGAAAGGCAAAGAAACGTGGACGTTTCGCGAAATGTAATGTAGCTGTGGGCGTAATTGAGTTACATTACGTTTAAGAAGAGAATGTTGAACTTTGTAAAGAATATCTCCTCTGAGCAAGTTAATCAATGAAAATGAAAAATGCTACTTCGAGGGGGTGGTAAAGCGAATCAAAACTTCTCCCACATAATTGTCTACGTCACCGTCAATTGGTGCACTCTGTTTTTACTAACAAGGCTCTGGCGATCGAAAACTGGCCAACAACTTGAAATAAGGATTTCCTTTTGATAAAAGGGGTTTGAAACTTCCCTTCGTTTAACAAAGCTTTGAAATTTTGAACTAAAACTGTACAAAATAAAATGAATTATTCTTTGCCGTCCACTAGCTCAAATCAAATTCTTAATGCAAACCTCTCCTGCGATCTGAAACGTGACTACAAAATTTTTGTTGCTTGTCAATAAAAAAACACTGAACGACCAATTAACTATATATTGAAAATCAATTCAAAACTTTAAATTAATTCCATATGCACTTTCCTTTGTACATGATTTTTTGCTAAAACATTTTAACGTAATCATAATTGAAATGGCCATTTCCTTATCAATTATAAATAATTTCAATTCTAAATGTAACAAATACATATACAGGGTGCCCATTATGTATAGAATATAGTATATACCTCGGTAAATATCGAACGTATACAAAGTACTATATGAAAGTTGATATTTTATTCGGTGTACTTAAACTGCCGTTGAACGGTCGTGTACTAAAATGCCGTTAGCAGATATGACGTCAATTATGTGACGCGTTTGACAGTACTGGCAGATTCGTCATCAAATTGACGGCATCTTATTATACTGCCGTTACAGCTGTTAGTGCATGTTACTTAATATACTATATTTGCCGAGAGCGTATTCAAAGTTAAAGTGGTTGTTGTTAATCATTGTTGGAACAACTTGTGCCAAATATGAACTAAATCTGATCTGTTGATATAGAATGAGGTAAGTGCTATAGTCCATACGTTTTCTAATTGCTCTTATCTACTTTTAGTTAAGTTAGGTTTAGATACCTATTATACATGCCAAGAATGTTAAAAGTTGGAGATAGATTTACCTCATTTGCGGATGCAAAAAAAGCCATCGCGGAACTTGGTGACAATACGTATACGACATTTTGGAAACGAGATGCACGTACTATTGCAAGTAGTAAAATTGCTAGACAAATAAAAAGTTCTTTAATATATTATCAACTTGTTTATGCATGCAATCATGGTGGAAGGAAATTCAAGAGCAGTGGTAAGAAAATTCGGCAGTCTTGGACATTTAAAGAAGATTGTCCTGTACATGTAAGATTCAAGGCATCATTAGATGGAAATGCATTAGAAGTAACGTCGATTCAAAGCCAGCACAATCATGACACATCAAAAGTAAGTACCTACATCTATAATTGGATTTTTAGGGTTTAACGATAATGGATTCGGATTGTAAATTACTATAGTTTCTTAGATGAAATGAACTTAATTTTCATAGTTGTCTATAGCAATTACATTAATCTATAATTTTGTGCATCCAGCCGTATAATTATTTTCCATTTTTTAGTGCAATTGTTTGAAATCGGTTCATTTCTTTTCTAAAGGTATTTGAATTTAATGGATAATTATGACTTTTCAGGTCTTATATGCACATACCCCTAGTCAAAGAAGGCTGTCTAGCAACATGAAGGAAAGTGTAAAAGATTATTTGAATATGAAAGCAAATAGAAAAATGATACAACAAAAATTGCAAGAAAGCACTGGTAAAATCATTACTTTGCAAGATTTAACAAATATAACCAAAAATGACCAATCCAAAACAGAAAATCTGGATAACTGCTTAAAAATACTCAAAACGAAATATGGTAACCTGGAGGATTTATTATTGTGGTAGTGTTAAATAATTATCTATTATTACTTTTAGGTGCCCATGCAGCTGTATTGCGAGACGTAGACAATAATTTTAGGGGTCTTTTTATTCAAACGCCAGCTATGAAAAGCACCATGAATGCATTTCCAGAATTTCTTGCAGTAGATGCAACATATAAATTACTTAAAATAGGATTACCCGTTTTTCTTATAATTGTAGAAGACGGTAATTGTCAAACTGAAATAGTGGGTGTGTGTATACTGGCATCAGAAGATAGACAAAGTTTCACCTGGTTCTTAGAAACCTTTAAAAGTGAGAATCCAGCATGGATAAACGTGAAATGCATAATGACTGACAAGGACTTACATGAAAGAGAAGTAATTAAGAATTGTTTTCCTAATGTAAACCTTATAATATGCGTGTTCCACACATTGAAAATATTTTATCGTGAAATTTCGTGTCAAAAAATGGGAATTACTCCAAGTCAGCGTACACTTAGTTTAGAACTAATTCAGAAATTGGTCTACGCTAAGACAGATGATGACTACGAAAAATACATGCAAGGCTTAAAAGATAGTGTACCTCGAACAGTGTATGAGTATTTTATGAAAAACTGGCACAACACTAAAGATGAGTGGAATCTAGGGAAAAATTATTTTAAGAACAGTTTTTTAAATAACACAAATAACCGTCTGGAATCTATTAACGCTAAACTAAAGTCAGTTATAAACAAAAATAGTCCTTTGGAACATTTTATAAACAGCTTGTTTACAATTATTTCAAGTTTGGAGACAGAAAGGGATCATAAAGCAGTTTATGGTATTTTAAAAAAACCCGTCGACATGTTTCCCGAAGACTCAGATGAAAGAAAATATTTCAAACTGCTCACACGTGAAGCTTCAAAGCATGTTTTAAGAGAAATTCGTATTTCGGAACAAATCAGAAGTATTACTGTTTCTGCATATGGTTATTACATCATTACTGATAGTCGGGGGTCCACAAAAACTACAGTTTCTTCGTGTAATTTGTGTAATGTATGATGCAATGATTTTACCCTGCAAGCATATTTTTGCATTGAGGCGGCATTTACATGTAGAGCTTTTTGACAGAATGCTTGTAAACCACAGGTGGACCATGGATTATTATAAAGGCAAGCAGCGAACATTAACGTCTTTGCTTGAAGACAATGAATCGACAGGACATCACTTGCCATGTACATCTAATGATAGCACTATATCTGTATCACTGACCACACAAGGGCATCAACCAATATGTAGAATGGGTTCAAAGAAAATCTTTTTTAAAACACGTTTTTAATTAGTTCTATTGCGGCTATCGATTTCAACCCCTTAAGGTCATCTTCAGGCCTGAAGATGACCTTAAGGGGTTGAAATCGATAGCCGCAATAGAACTAATTAAAAACGTGTTTTAAAAAAGATTTTCTTTGAACCCATTCTACATCGCACAACACGTTTAAAAACAATGGAACAATACATCAACCGAATCAACCAATATATTCCTATGCACAAAGAAGAAAAAAATGTCTTCTGTTATGTACTGAACTTGCCGACTTAGCAGCACAACGTACGGGCATGTTATTTGAGCAAAGGCTTAATCTATTAAAAAATCTCAAAACATTGTGGGCTAATGATACTGCTGTTCTACTTACGCCTATAGACGTTAGAGACGAAAATGACCGGCAATTTATTGTTGAAAGTAATGATGAAGTAGTATTTGAAAATGAAAATTTTTCAGAGTTTTGTAACGAAGTGGTTATCCAAGACCTAAATATATTAGGTGACGTAAATCTCTCATCTCTGGGCCACACTGAAGTTATTGAGGAGGTCAATATGGAAGAATCAAATAAAGAAAATGAAGTTCCTGTTACCGCTGATATTAATGTACGTGACTGCAACAACCAATCCCAGCAAACTGTTCAAGTAAATGACATTAATTTGTCGACTATCAAAATGCCAGTTGCAATAAAGAAACGAGGACGCCCAAAAGGGCAAGACTTAACAGTAATAGGATTACCAAAACGAAGGAAAAGAAAACCCTTGTCGTTTTCAAAGAAATCATATCAGGAAAAACAGGATTTAATACTAAATTTCTTTGTTCAGAATGGTGATATTGTTAAAGATATTAAAAATGGTAAAATTCTTGAAGATTTAGATCTTAAATCGTTTCCAGAAGAAATATCTGATGCTGTATTAGATAATAGCGTTGACGTCCACTTGATGAAGTAAGTCTTGCTATAATCTATCTTATGCTTTAATTAATTTTAAACTGTGTTTTTTCAGAACCTTTTGCACAGACGAAGCCTTTAACAAGATCTTTAACCTAGTGGAACAAAAACGACTTAAGCAACACTGGTCTTGCTCTGTGTGTGGTGCAGGCAATCAAAACGACCAAACAGCAGTTTGTTGTAGTGGTTGCCTTCTGTGGAAACATATTCGTTGCTTAGGATTATCTAGGCGGCCTAAATCAAAACAGTGGTTTTGTAGAAATTGCTACTAAGAATTATGTATTTTTTGTGTTTGATACATTTTGTGTTTTTTTTTTCAATAAATCACAGTACGTTTGTAATGATTAAACAAAAATATTACGTTAATTTGCCTCAAGTGTTTGAATAATTGCCATAATTTGGAGCCACGGTAATATAAGAGGATGCCGTCAATTGATTACAAAACTGCTAAGATGACCTTAAAACGAACGGCAGCCAAAGCAAATACCGTCAAACGCGTCATATAAATGACGTCATATATGCTAACGGCATTTTAGTACACGACCGTTCAACGGCAGTTTAAGTACACCGTATTTTATTTCCCATAATAAGGTGGCATTCATTTCTTTTTATTTCAGACAACAAATGAGTAACGAAAAAAAATTGAAAATTTTTTTTACCTTTTCATTAGACTCATTTGATAGAGATTTTTTTTTCTTTTCGATGATATAACATGTTAGTAACCTTATTCAAGAAAATGTTTCAAAAAAATTCATTATAATTAGATCAATAACATTAATCCAGATATCCTATATCAAAATAAAACAAATGAACGTGTACGTTTCTTCTTAGACCTTGAAGACACAACGAAATAAGCAGTAAAATGGTTTTCATCGCAACAGTGACATAACCTATAACAAAAAGCTTGAAATAAAAATTAATTTCTTCTACACGGGTGTTACGTCACTGAAAAGAGAACAAAATCTATCAAATGAGCCTAATGAAAGTGTGCATTGTTATTTCAAAAAATTCAATTGTTTTTCGTTATTCATTTGTTTTTTGAAATAAAAATAATGGAATGCTTACTTAATATGGGAAATAAAATTTTAAAAAAACTTTCATATAGAAAAATTTTGTATACAGTCGATATTTACTGAGATATATACTATATTCCATACATAATGGGCACTCTGTATAAGATCTACTTATACAAGGGCTAAAATTTCTTTATGTACACTTAATGAGGTAAAGTTGATAATTAATGGACCCATGAATTTGCAGGTTTTATTGAAATTCTGAATGAAACTTTACGGCACAAAAATGAGATTTTTATATTCAATCCAATTTCAGTAGGTTGGTAATAATTAAGTTTTATTCTGGTAATTTCGTCAGGGATTTATTATAACAATGATGTTTTTTAAAGAAATTGTACCAATCAATTTATTGATTAACAATAAAACAGACTAACCTTGCAAAGAAATGGATCTTCTCGTAAATAAATAATTGAAATCAGGAAGAGCGACTACTTAGGTAGATCTTAGTTACACGGATGGCGCTTTGGGCTTTGATTTTCAGGACAGTGCATATAGTACAGCAATTCGACGGGACGCCGCAGATGGTTAAATCGAAAAACAAACCTCTTGAGCTTTGTTTTTAATTATCTCTTCGGCGTTAAAATGTTTATTTACTTAATTCTTTTTGGATTTTTTTTAAGATTTTAACTTTGTTTAGGTTTCATTTTGTTGAACTTCTAATTCTTTAAATCGGTCTAATCCTCCCTTCGTTTCTTCGTAATTTATAACGCATAGAATGGCGGATTAGCTTTCAAATTAGTGGTGGCGAATTTTTCATTGGTTACTACTCTTTTTCCAACCAATCCTAAATGATTTTAAAGGTCGCTAATCAATCCCATCCCTTTTTAGAACCCGCACGCTCAACAAATTTCACTTTGACTTTATTTCATGATGAGTTTACTAATGTAATACCTCTGTTGATCTTGATCACACTCAAAGTTAGAACCGAGGTTAGAACTAATTTCATGTTCGTTTTTGTGTAGGGAAAAATGACGTTCATAATTTCTACTGCTGCTCACAGTAGCAAAATGGCATGCAAGAGTGCCTGCAATTTCTTGTTCACCCCCTTCAACAACAGTCCGTCATTAGTTTTCAGGTAAGTTATTTGCTGCCCGCCAACGTTGCCTGATATAGCTTTTACGACCCACTTGTCCTATATCTTGTGATTATGTAGTTGTAGAGGTGTAATATATTCCGGTGATCTCTTTTACTGTCCAAAACAGCACGTCTGCTTATGGCTTTGTCTGTTATGAATTGAATGTGGTTCTCAATGGTAGGTTCGTAGTTCGTAGGCACGCTCTCGAGTCGGTACCTTAGAGTGTCCCTTACTAGTTATCACAGTTAGAAACAGCTTTGGACGTCCCTCTTATCTTCTTTTCCCCTTTTCACCACAGCTCTAGCTCCATTGACTCCAGTTCAACGGAAGCCGAAGGTAACTCAGGCAAATGTTCTTGCTTCTTTTCTATTAGTTCTATTAGTTTGATGGTTGTGATGCCATTGTCGCTGCAATTTGTCTATACGATGTGAATGGTATAGACAGTGTTCCTATCTGTTTCTTCGACTCGCCAGATATCATCGTAGATATCTTAGGGATTACTTTAATCCCGATTTGATCTCTTGCAATTTGGGCATTGCATGAGAGTCTCACATGTTGCTCCTGGATGAATATTGTTACCACAAATGCATCATTGAGGATATTTACATGTGGTAGATGCGTGTCCAAATCGTTGACAATTGAAACAGCGTAGCAGATTTGGTTATATAAGGTCCAACCTTCAAGGGGTAGAAAGCTGCATGAATTGTTTTTGGAAGTGCTCGAGTATTAAGAGTGAGAACATGGTTGGCAGTATCTTTAATCATTCCATCACGTTTTGTCCTTGTACGTCTAACATCACTTACTCCTTGATTTTCTTTAATCTCCTCTAATGTACAATAAAACTGGGGAACCTTTCGACATATTCATGGTAGCATGAGGCTGTACGACAACATTAAAGTTTACAAAACGTGTAACTTACAACAATCCGTTGTGACTGCTTCTGAGAGACAATTTCAATTAATGCCTTGTAATATTAACATTTAACAATCGTTTTTAGCGCATTTCCACAAAAATAAAAAAAAATGCGCTATTGTGGCCACTTTGTCCGTCCGTCCGTCCGTCCGGCTGTCCGTCCGTCCGTCCGGCTGTCCGTCCGTCCGTCCGTCCGCTCGTTTTGCGACGCTACTAGTTCTTTATCTTAAGAGCTATTGTTCTACTTTTTTCGCTATTTGGTTCGTTATGGTGTCGAGTCTTGCACCAAGGAAGGAATTTTTTCTGTACCGCTTACAAAAAAAGTTATTGTAAAAAAAACAAAAAACCGTTTTTTACATGTTCCATAATTTTACACTTTTGCCGTTTATTAACGATCCTAGAGATCGTTTATAATTTTGCATTGCTATCTGTCGTCTGCCTGTTTGGTCTGTCCGTCTGTTCCTTTGTCTGTTTGTCCATCTATCTGTCCGTGTGAGCGATAACTTTGTTTAGAAATGTTCGATCGCTTTTACATCTCCGTTAGTTATGAACTGAATTGCATGAAATTCAATATGGGCATAGATTTAGCCATATAATACGCAATGCCAAAAGTTGAATCGAATCGATTCAAAATTCACAGTGCCCTTTTCGCATCTCGACCATTTATAAACCGAATTGCAAACTTTTTTACTTATAAAAATATTTGAATGAAATTTGATACATAGGAAAATCAACCGCCAATTTCAAAATTTGGTTTTGCGCATGCGCAGTGCCAACTTTTTTATTTATGGAAGAATTTAAACGAATTTGATACATAGGCACTGGGGATAAAGGAAAATCCAACGCCAATTTCAAAATTTGGTTTTGCGCAGGCGCAGTGCCAACTGTTTTATTTATGGAAAAATTTAAATGAAATTTGATACATAGGCACTTGGAATAAAGGAAAATCTAGCGCCAGTTTCAAAATTTTATTTTGCGCATGCGCGTGCCAACTTTTTTATCTATGGAACTATTTAAGTGAAATTTGATACTTAGGCGCTTGGAACAAAGGAAAATCTAACATTAGTTTTAAAATTTAGGTTTGCGCATGCGCAGTTCCAACTTTCTTATTTAGAAAAGCATTGAAATGAAATTCTTCTCATAAACTGAAATTGAAGTAGCACGTCAACAATGGATTGCCCATGTGCAACGCTATCTTTCATATTTGTGGCCGGATTTTTACGATTTTAACAGAAGTTGCATCTTACAAATGGGAAATGAATGCAAGTGGAAATGCGCTTTATGTAAATCGTTTACGATTACTTTTTAACTTGTTTTAATGGTAAGCGTCGGCGTACGCTGTATAATCGTCATCTTTACCCTACTAATTTTATTCGGTGCTCTTCATAGTCATTATCAGCTCTTCTTCTTAATTCTTGGTAATGTAATTTAATAGTACCTACAACCATTTTACAAGATTAAATGCCCTACAAATTCCAAACTTTATGGCACTATCGGTATGATTCTGTCACTTCGTTACCACTTACCAATAGGGTTGAGCGACACTCAATGTCTATCTTAACTTTCCCCGTATGAAATTGGAGAGATACGAGGGCAGTAATGACAATTAAATCAATTCAGGTACCAAAAGAAATACTGGTTTATTCTAAATATCAACTTGCAAGATAAAATTGCCTCCACAGTTGGATAGCGTATCCCACAAATATTCAAAAGTATTGATTATGTGATTGAAAACTCTTAGTAAATAATGGTGAATTCCGCAATTAACCAATACTCCAATCGACAATGACCGATTAGTAAGTAATTGACTGTATAGCAAAAGTTTCCCAAAATCAAAATGAACTACAATCAATAATTGTTTCTATACTGAAAGCACAAGTATTCACATATAATCATAACAATATTACCTTGAAATGGAAATCGGTCACTGTAGGGAGTCCGACCCTGTAACAGACACGCACCTAAACTCGGTGGTACCGTGGTGAACCAATTACTACCTGAAGATCCAATGCATATCACTTGTGGTTGTAAATCCAAGATCGACTACCACGTTTAAGTCCATCATGCATCGGCAGGAATGACGGTAAAGTTACTGACCAAGTTAAAATGCAAAATTGATTCCTTTAGGAGGTATGTAACGATACGCTTATAACACACAGAAGTAACGGAAAGTATCTATTGGCTGTTTAAATTTCTCGGATGAATGCAGTTGTTCGGATGGTTATCTAAATGCCCAAGTGTCCGGATGGTGGGTGGTGGGTGCAAACAGGACTATGACTTCAAGGTGGTCGTTATCTCCCTGCTAAGGTCCAATGAAATTGATATCTTGGCACGGAAACAGCCTGTTGCAGTTTTAACACTCTCGAGCTGGGCTGGTATTTGTTCAGCAGGAAATACCCGAAGGAAGGAAACGCCCTCTCTAAGTTAATGAGAGGGCGTAGAAACCAATTAATACGAATAACGATGCTAACAATTATTAAATTACGTCGGCTCAACCGTTAGATATCGGATGTCACGTGTAAAAAATCCCATTCAACTCCTCTATAACAAAATAAGTGCAAATCGAAACAAACCAAATTTCGAAATAATAATTAAAAGTGAATTGTCAAAGATTGAAAAATTGCGTGGTTTTAATTCCATTAATAGATCGAGCCATCCATCAAATCGCATCAAATGAAAATATGTCGCATATACAGATATACCTTTGCATTGAACCAAATTACACGATACTTTTTCTAAAAAAATGACATTTATTCTCTTTCGAAATTATATGAACTTAAAACTAAAAACAGCTACTTCCTTTCTTTCCCACATTCAATAATTCTTATGAACTTGCTTGACACTAACCATCTAACTAAATATCAGGGCAGTGTAAACTTTCCTGGACAGTTTAAACATTTTTTTAATGAACAAGGAGAAACAATTACCTACCTAACACCGTTTAGTCGAAAATTGCGTTTGAACTAACTATTACATGAAATTTTAGGAAACGTAATTTTTTCTACTAACTAAAAGCTGTGGACCATAATTGGTGCAATTTCCGGTTTTCCGAATTCTTGATAATTTTTTAGTCAAAGTCCTTCACTCTTAGCGTGACACCATAACGCACATTTCTAGGCTTGCCTTGTCCAGTAAATTTAAACTGTTAGTCGGATTTCGTGGGTAGGTAATACCTATTACCTCACTTTATTTCCAGTTTATATTAATATTGACATTTAATATTTAGTAGATACTGTAGGAATCATCTCCATTTAATTGATGGTTATGACTATGAATATAATTTTCAATGTAAGCCCCGAAACGCAAACCTACAGACGTACAAAGCTCTGCTGAAATCAGTTCGTGGGTCCTCAATTTTTTTAACAGAGAAAACCGTTAATTTATAATTTTCGTTATTTAGCAAACCAATTAGTCACACGCAAGTCTAAATTCAATTTGTTTCCTTCACATTATCATCGCACCTTTCCCGTTCGTTAAGTTAACAAAAGGTGTTGATACGTGGTTATTATGTATCGAAAGTGAACACGTATTCATATAAATAAAAGCGGCTTAATTAAATGCCATTTTCCTACAAACATGCGAACACAAAATCTTGCAAACTTCAGGAATTATAATTATGAGAAATGCAATATGAGATCATGCACGTCACTTCGACTCGCATAATACAAAGTGGGTGTTGAAATATAAATCAACATCGTGTTAGATAAAGATGATTTCGATTCTGACCTTTTCATGCAAGCCCATAAAGTAGTTACATATTATTAATGTTAGATTGCAAGAGCGTCGTCGGTACAAGACAAAAGCATTCGACAAAATATATCAGCGAGCGGTTGGACGAGGTAGAAATTCCATTTGTTTGGAATGCTGGTATCTTTGACAAATTTTATTAGAGCCGTAATGATATACGTTCCAGTTTTTAATGGGTCAGCCGCAACCGTTCTACACCCGAAACGCTAATTTTGAAATAATAGCGGTATTTGTGCGGTGAAAAAATTATGTAAAACAAACTGCTTTCCCTGGAGGCTTTCACACTGACGACTTAAGCTAATCGAAAAGGCATAGCTAAGAAGTTCTACGCGTGGCAGTAACTCAAAGTATCAATATAGCACCGTCCCCGAGGCCCCACTAGATACCTGCGATCCTCTGACAGGTGGAATCCCCTCTTCGTGCAGGTACTTCAAGTTGGAGGAGTTTCTCGTCTCATTCTACGTTTGATCATCGCGGTGTTAAAAACCACGTGTTTGTAATATGATTAACGTTAGTTTAAGTAGTAGACAACAGATTGTGCTTCGAGTAACGTTCTTGTGATGTTGGTGTTCGTAAATGTAGTGTAATTTGCGGTGAGTATCCCGTACACGGCGCGTAAACGTCGGAGACTTCAACGCTGCGTTAGGCTACATTTCTGATCATTTCTAGATTTCCGCACGAAGTTCGCAATCAAGCTCGTAGGGGATGTTTGCGAACATTGCCGGCGGCGTTAGAGGGAAGAATTTCAGTTGCCGATTTTAGGTAACGTTTACGAGATTGGTCCATTTTTAATTTACCGCGGCTATTTTTAGATGAACCAATTATGTAGGGTATGTGGAGAACCAGCGGCAGGTTTCCATTTTGGTGCATTCACTTGTGAGGGATGCAAGGTTAGTGGTATTTTCTTTTTAATTTCTTGTACCACCGAAATTTATGCATTTCGTCCGAACGCATTCTACAACTTAACCGACTTTTAATTATAAAAAAAAACGTTTCCTCTAATATTAGACGATCGTAGATTCCAAGCAATAGTGATTCTGATTCATCCATTAAAAACGTCAGTTTTACGTTAAGCAATTAAAATGAATGTTATTTAGATAGTTCTAAAATTCTAAAACCGCTTGCTCCATTTACGTTAATGTAATGCAAATATGAAGCATAAGTCAAACCGCAGAATCTCATGCAGATTTTCCCGATGTATCATTCGTGACTAACTTATTTTAACATAAGCGCTCGAATTAGTAGCTTAACGTTTTTCGTATATTTCAGTCTTTTTTTGGAAGATCGTACAACAACCTAAGTTCGATATCGGAATGCAAAAACAACGGAGAATGCGTGATAAACAAAAAGAATCGAACAGCGTGCAAAGCATGCAGACTGCGAAAGTGCCTTTTAGTAGGGATGTCGAAGAGCGGCTCACGTTACGGCCGTCGCTCAAATTGGTTCAAAATCCATTGTCTTCTCCAACAGCAACAGCAAGCGGGCGTAGGGATCGCCGGATCCACAGCGGCTGGGCTTCTACGACCGCATCCGTACTATCGACATTTAAGCACGTCCAACCCCACAACCGACACCAAAAGTTCCGAGTCAGATAGCGGCGCATCGTCCGCGGATCCAGATGACGAAGTCAGATCTGCGAGTGCCTTCAGTTACTTTGGTCCGACAATTTCCCCGTCAAGTGACCGCTCTAACGTATCCTCGACGAAAATTTCACCCATGTGCGATAATCTACAGCGGACGTTTCCGGGGAAAGTCCCATCCCTATCGTTCCCACCACCGATGTCTCCTAACAGCCTCTTCCCACGTTGGCTACCCACACTGCCAAATATTACCTACCCGTCAGCGTGGAGAGATCTGTGGTTACGCGCACCGGTCGCAGTAGCCGAACCTGCGCCAGAACAAGATCAACCAATTGACTTGTCATTACGACCCAAAATCTCAACACCCACAACGGATAGTGAATCGGAAATTAATATCGACGTGGGTGTCGAGGAGTCTGTAAAACATGTGCCTATAGATTTAAGTAATTCAGATAAAACTGGTGATATTACGAATAATTAAGTAGGTTGTGATAATAAGGCGTCAGTATTTTAACTATATATTTATTTAAGGGCCGCCCTTTCTCCCTAGACTTTTTGTGCCAACAGTACCTGAAAAATTAACACACGTTTTTCTGTAAAGTGCCAGTTACTTTAAAATCTAGTATTATTTTATTTAAATGTGTATTATAAAAAAGGCCAGTAAAAGCTCGCCGTATGTTACGTTGTGCTTCAATAAAGTTTATATTACGACCGGTTTTATTACAGAACTCCATCAACCAATGGCGTAAATTAATTACAATGAGATATTTTGTACTATCTAAGAGAGCTTTCTAGGATGTCACACGTAAACAAGTGGTGATATCTGGATGGCTCACACTTTCTTGTATGCCCACTTTTAGCATCTTGGGTGGCTATTTTAAATCCGGTCGGACACCTACACATGGAGATTGTCTGTTATGTAGTAAAACAACTACTTCGCACGCAATCCCTGTTTACCCTACAATAAAAATAATTGGTTCAATTATTCTACCCAATTACAGCTAGTCGCCTTAATTTTTGCTACTCAACTTGATAGTCCATTAATTTATACGACCACGGTAAGTTACTCATAACGACAACGTGTTTTGTTTACACTCCCCCGCAGTGTCGACCTTTTCAATAAAAAAATGCTAATTAAATTAACCGTTTACGTACCAGTCCGCAAAATGGTCATAAATTACGATACATTAGGAATATATTTTAATTAAAAATTCTAGAAAAACCTAAAGGTTTACGCAGAAATTTATTAATATTTAAAGATAATTATATGGTTATTAATTTCCGAACTCGTGCCCGTTCCGTAATAAATTAACAATTAAGTAACGCTTGCATTATAATTTCCTTAATGGAAAATAGCATGCAGATTATAGTCAGTGCAAACTGTGCGATAAATGCATTACATTTTATAACCGTGAAAATGTGAAAATTTTAGCGATTCCGTAATTACAAACACGCTCTGCATATTACACACCTCGCTTGCGTTATAATATCTACAACTAAAAAAGCTGATGTTAATTTATTTATCATTTTGATCTCGCGCCGCAATTTTATTTGTTTGTGTAGTCGTGAATCAAACGTTGTCTAAAATTTGCAGTTGTTTTAACTTCTGCTGTACGTATCACATTTCGGGGGGCAACGGTTGCTTCTAATGTTTCTCCAAAATATTTTGAAACGATTAACGTACAAATTATACTATTTTATTATTTTGGGGCGCACGTTCAAGTATTTTGCATAACCCATGTACAATACATACTATTAATGTCTTAATCTCTAATATATAAAAACCTCGTGTCACGGTGTTTGTGGTCGCATTCCTCTGAAACGGCCGATTTTTATGAAATTTGTTTTCTATATTAATTGATAGGTTTTCATACCGGTAGGTGATTATATAGTTCGCGGGATATGTGAGGTGAGGCGGCGCAGGCATCGAAATCGAGCGTATGTCTCATCCAAGAAAAAGGTGGTACGAATAGTGCCAGTTATTTTGAAAATGCGAGGTGCAGATAAACAAAAACCCGCTACAATTAAATTTTTAGCCATCGTACTTTTACACTGAGGCGTTTTTCAGCCCTGAAAATGCGTGCACTAATTTTTTCTCCTCGTCAATGAATTAATCAGACTTATTTGACACCTAATACTAAGAAATAAACATGCTTTTCAAACGCCAAAGAACACGCGTGGTCAAATGTTGTCAAAGTCTTTAGGCTTTCGGTCTCATTAATTTAGTTGTGATTTAGGGGTTACCCAGAATAGCCCAACAATATCCACACAACTATACGTCATACAACATTTACCTATGACTATTTTGAGTTAGAATCAAAAAAGATTAGTTAATAATAAAACGTTCCCGAGCCGTTAAGATGCTTAGATACCTATATGTTTTTTTATTTTTCTCACAATTTTCTTTTTTCCTGATAGTTGTGTTATATAAAACCCGACGGCTAATAATAAACTAGAAAAATTTGTATTGGGGTTCATTTTCTACAAATGCAAATGTACAGATGTACACCTTTGATTTATAGCGGAGAATGTATACAAAAGGTAAAAAAAGTTACCCCACTTATGACACGTCCATTTTGAAAACTGAAACTTGCGCTGAGCTCCTTGCGTAAGTAGTTCAAATAGTGTAGTTACCAAACGTTTTTATCGCTTCGGTAAACAAAAAACACAAAAATGCATACCTAATTGTCAGTTTTTCTCTCTTCAGCACTACCTCACGCACCTTGCGAGGTTCAATACTTTTAATGCTTGTGCACCAGGAGTCTTAGAGTCACGTCTTTCAATCCATATAGAAATTAATGGCTGTCCAAGTGTGTTTTGCGTGGACAGACTATAGACTTCTCGCTGATTTTTTCGCCGATTTGCAATTTAAATTGACTTTTGAGTTGTGCTATGCACGGACCGGCCACAGAATTCTCGCTGATGCAAGCGAGAATCAGGAATGGACTGCGATGACCCCATTGGCTGCAGTGCCCGACGCCTCTGTGTCGACGGGAATATTAGCAGTACAGTACGATGTCTTTATCCCTAGCAGACTGGCCAGTTGAGCTCAAGAGATCTCCAACCGCCAAAAGTAAGCAGATCGACGCCTGGCGCATGAACCTTCCGCCGCCGCATAGACCTACCGCGACGGTGCGTAACCCTGCATCACGCCACAACGGTACTCATGCCCACCAGCCGATAATGACGACAAATACCAGAAGTGGCGCACGCTCCGATATCAGCCGCGGCGGCAGCCTACCACCAACCCCGGTCTGAAGCCGGCAATCCAGTCCACATATAAGGTAAAGATGCTAGTAGATGCCCTACAGAAAATCCGGACCAGCCCTCTAGAGCTTTCATAGGTCAGCGGCGACCACCTGGAGGACCCCACGGCGTAGTTCAGTACCCTAGAATAGAAAGTCCCCAAAGAAAATCCAGCAGGCCAACTCAGTGTGGCAGCTACGAGGCATTCTCCCCAAACTATAACGTCAAAAAGCCCATATAGAGGAAAAGAGAGAAAAAAAATCGAATTCGTGGGAAGCTGAACGCCAAGTTCTTCTCGAGAGAACAAAAGACTTCCATCTCCAGAGGAAGACGCAGTTAGCGAAGCGTCTGAGCATCTTTCTATAAGTCCCATTGACCTGATACGTTTGGTCTGACCACCAGTATCACCCTGCCCGGAGTATCATTTTAACTTACGTCCTTCTGGGATACGACCTCCCTCGACTGGGCGAATGGTATACGAAGCCCGACCCACCGCAAAGCGTGGAACAAGGTGAAGCGCAGGAAAAGCGGGTGCGAATGGTTCATCGGAATCAACACCGTTACCGAGCTGATGTTCCGCCGTGGAAATGTTCAATCTTCTTGTTTTCTTCTTTAGAAAAGCTACGGAAATCTTCGTCCGCCGCGGTAGCTCTATGGAGATGTTGGCTCGATCTTGGCTTAATTTCTTTCTTCTAGATCGGTATTGGCATGCACGTCGCGCTTTACGAAAACGGCTAGCGTAGGTTGGACAGCGCATACAATCGTCTAACGAAAGCTCTTCGCCATCGCCGTTAAGTAAAATCTGACCCACCAAACGCCTTATCTTACTATACTGGATTATAAAAAATATCTAATTTTTGCGTTTCACGTTCGACTGCGGTAATTCGCTCCCCTTGTTCTAGTTTTAATTACAATGACCCGCTTCATTTAACTCATCCTGAATATACACACGTAAAGTAATATTGATTATCTTACTTTATTTACATCCGAAATAATTTTGCATTTCGAACCGCGCTTGTTACTTTATATTGCTAATAATTTCCTTTTTTATTAAACAAATACCAATTTGGGTTATAATAAATGAAACAATTAATTTCCTTGCAATGCGCAAAACACACACACACACACACGATTATAATTTCGTGTCTATTTTTAGATTAAGCATTTTCCTACGAAGCTGTTAGACACCCTTTGCTTCTTAGTTACTTACCGAAAGTTACCTTTCGCGGGCGCTCTAAGGAACAAAAGGGTTGAATCTTGGGAATTTCGGCACTTTCAAAAAGGTTGTAAAAAAACTGTTAGGTATGTAGTGTAAATTCTCCTAGTTTTGTGAATACCGAAAAAATTCAGGTCTTGCCACCAGCAAAAAAGGTACTGTACTGGTGCTTGGTGATCACCTCTGGTGCAAGTGCTTAGTGGGTTCAATGGATAACACAATCAAATCGTGATAGGTGTCAAAATTATTTATCTTGTATTTGTCATGGGTTTCACAACCAATTCACAACCATATCATCAAAATCTGATTTTGTGGCCCTCTCTCGAAGTTCCGGAGAGAACTGGAACGTAAAATGTATTGTTAATTTATTAGTGATTTTTATAATGGATACTGTCCGTCAATTATACAATTATTATTATTTTCTTCAAAGTTTTTTTACATCAAAATAATGTTCTTTAGTCGAATACGTAACGTTCCCATTTACAGACTTATGTGCTAATATGTAATAATAGTCAGGCTTTGTAATAAATCCCCTTTATGGTACACTTTTGCAATAGGTTATTGTTTTACATTATTTATGCTGCCGAACACTCAATACGTTGTTATGGCGATATAAAGATAATGAACTGTAGATTATTAAAGTTTGTAGTCTACAATATTACCAACATACATCATAGTGCAACTGTTACATCACATTATAAAGAAGATAAAGTATCCACTTACACGCGCTGTTTGGAATATGAGTTTCTTTTTAAGTTATTGCAATAATTAGAAACATTAACGAAACTTTGTTCGGTAAATTGTGTTTATTTTTCTATTCGGTTTTGTAAATTAAGCCTATTGTAAATAGTAACCGATACTAATATTTATCATGATGCGGTAACACATTATTTACAAAACCTTGCCCACATACATTTTTGTAAGGAAATTTGTAAGGTAATCACTAATCACACACCTGCGTACTATTAAAATGGCAATAAAAATTACGGCGTTTTCATTAAAGAACTACGCTAGTGGTAAATATCGAAAAATCCATGACACTCGGGAATGAATAGAGAAATTATGTCATCAGAAAACAATAATGATTACCCTACTTATAAGTGGAACCCGCTTCGCGAGAGGGTTATTTCAATAGTGTTTCTTTGTGTTTGGGAATCTGAGACTCTCATTAATGTTTGCATGGTGTGTTCAGTCTTCTTGTTGAAGGGTTGGCCACCTCACTTTTTATACTGTCACCCGATAGAAAAAA